GAGTACTTGTTCGGGCAAGAACAATTCGTACCTTACGCTACCAGGAGGCAGCCTACATACGGCGGTTTAAACCTGTCCTATGTAAAAAACTGGAGCATGTGGTGAATCTAACCCTGCCGTGGTAGCACCGGCTCCCTGTTTACCCCTCCCCCTTCCCAACTTTTTTGCCTTAGACGTTTTTCCACCGTTTTTTGCTGCCCACAGCGTTTAACTTTCCTGCTTTATTGATTGCCTCTTGGCCATTTCTTGTGACCTTGCTGTTTTGTGTCAACTTTTTCTGTATGAATTCAATTCTGTAATTTCTCATTCGTTACTCAATTTATGCAGCGAGTGGACGCAGCTGATGAGCGCTCGTGAAATTTATGGTTCCATTAAATTCTGTTACATACGCAATCTTCAAAACAAACTTAGTTGACCGAATTGTGAAAAAAAATCGTGGCGTCGGTGGGAGTCGAACCGTTGCGAGTTTTTTTTACAGTTGAGTCAACTAAGTTTGTTTTATGTTTTTTCCTGTCTTCCAGTTTTAATTGTCGCTCAAGAGGTGCTTTGTCAGGTAACCCAATTTTGACCTTGCCTGTAAACTGACAATAAATAAATAACCTTGTCTTTGCCGGCAATGCTATCTGTTGCAGGTTCCTTTGCGGCCAGGGGTGCAAGTTTTGTCGCTTTTAATCACTTATCTTCACCGAGGGACACAAAATTTTGACAAATATGTGGACTCAAAAAATTACTTTGGCATTTCGGAAAATGCTGTGCGCAGCTGTGCGCTTCGTTTTTTAGTGGTCAGTGTCAAGGCCACATTCTGCTGTTGCCCTTGAATTTGAATTAGTCCTTTAATTGATCATCCCTATTGCCGTGAGACAACAGTTGCGTGAACCATATGTCGGAGGTTAATACAGATTTTTTAAAACGCACAGAAAGGCGTTATGAGCTTCGAGTAACTGAAGACTTTCGACTGAAGCAGGATATGTACCTGCCCCTAATCCCCGCTCACTACGAAATTCTTGCCTTTTTTGTGATGATGGCTACG